TTACCCTAAACCCCTCCAAATGCCAAACAGTCAACTTCACCTTTAGGCATGAATCCGACCTAAACAAACTGGTTGGCTCTCACGAGGTATGCAACATAGACGGCACTGAAATAGAAACCAAATCGGAAATTAAATACCTAGGCGTCATTCTATCTACAGATCTCTCCTGGTCGTCTCACATCTTAGCGATTTCTAAGAAAATATTCTATATACATTCTACATTAAGAATTTAAAACATTCTGGTATAACCCAACCCTTACTCTTACAATTCGTTAACTCTCGCATTCTGCCCATTATTCTCTATTGTTCTCCCTTAGTTTTTTGCCGGGCTACTGAAGAAAGACTTTAACATATTACGCAGGATGTTAAAGGTTGTCAGCAGGGTAAGCAACGTGCCACTTAACCAGCTTGTTAATATTCTGGTCGACAGGCAGGTACATGGACTCACGTGAAAAATGGGCCAAATCCATTTTATCTAACTCACACCACCCTCTTCACTCACAACTCTCCCCTCCCCTTGCATCTCATCAGGCAAAACCAGAAGCCTATATAGAAAACTATTTGCTCGCACCAGCAAATTCAAAAACTGAACTATACCCTACTTAGCTCGTGTTCTGTGTGATAAAGAAAGCATTACGCGTGACACCTATAATTCATTAAATAGTCAGTAGTACAACTGGATCTCGTCTTTCCAACTCATATCATTTATAGGAACAACATTTTCTTTCTTTTCCTTTTCTCTCTCTCTTCTTTTTCTGTTATGTGCTGCTTTGTTTCTTTCTTCCGCTTACGCCAGTAAATATGACAGCACCTACTTTTATAACACCTTCAAACACTGTTCACCTTTACTTTTGCTACCGACATGCCAATGTGTTGTTGTAATAATGAACTGAGATTTTCTTAATCTATGTAAAATTCTATTTATTGATAATGTACTAACTGGATGCAATACTGTAGTAAAAATGCTGAGAATTCCATTCTGTACCACATGAACTGTTTTGAAATAAAGCAAATTATTATTATTATTATTAAAAATTTAACTGTAAAAATAAAATTTAAAGTAGTCGGGAAGACATTCAGCTTTGTTTTGTGACAATATTGTGGAATTTCAGCATTCGTTGACTATATTGTACTGTTTATCTGTCTGTCCTACACACACACTCGACAAACAATCGTTTGTTATTCCATATTGGTTTGTTTATTAGACATATCATATGATGGAACTGTATTATTTACTTGAGGATGTTTCGAAAACAGTGTATTGTTCATAATCATATCAATTATGATATCATATGTGATTGTGGACAATAAATTGTGTTCGAAACATCCTCAAGTAAATAATTATACTGTTTCACTGTGTGATATATCTAATAAACAAAACAATAGGGAATTCGGTTATTGTGTAAATTCACATCTTTCAAATTTCTTTGTAGGGATAGATACGAGCACAGATAATGATGTTCAATCCTGGATTTTTTCAATGGAAAAAGATATAACAAGGAAATATATATACTAAGGTGATATCAAATGGAAAAAGAATTATTAAATAAGTAAGAACATAATTCATACGTAGGTTGCCTGTAAACAAAAACACATAGAAACAATAAAAGTGATAAGTGAGATTGACGTCATATTGTTGATTGAAAATGAATCAATCACATCCTCAAAACCAAAGAAAAAATAGTGTAAACACATTACAAGTCTTGGTTCACTTGCACTAGTAGACAGATATTTCCAAATCAATTCAATCAAAATAACCATTACAGTCTACAAGGATCAGAAGTCTATTTACATTCAAACTAATCCTCCTCCTCCACTACCTAACACTTTTCATCCGGCGGTCACGTAATTGGTCGCCTTTAAGTTGAGTTGAATAAGGAATTTAATTATTATTATTGTTCCCTTGGGTTCCTAGTGGAACATAGGGCTTCAACTGCACTTCTCCACTTGCTTCTGTCTTCTGCTGTACTTTTCACCTGCATCCATGTTAGTCCATACTGTTTCAACTCCTCTTCACACGATCTCCTCCATGTCACCCTTGCACTGACGACCAACTCGCCGCTTCCCTTTCAGGTTCCACTCAAGCTATGGCCTGACGCGGGATGTCACCCAGCGGCCTCCTCAGCGAGTGTCCAATCCAACTCCACTTTCGCCTGCATATTTGTTGGGCGATTGGTTCTTGTTTTGTTTCTTCCCATAGTTTCTTGTTGTTGATTCTTTCCGGCCTTCTGATATCTTTAGTATAGAACGAAGACAGTTGTTGATAAAGGTGTGCAACAGGCTGTTGGAAATATTCTTTGTGACACACTGGCCAAGTTTCTGATCCGTATAGAAGGACTGACTGACTTGACGTTTGTATTGAAAATCTGAATTTTGTTGTTGATGCTGAGTGAGTGACGAAGATTTCCAGATTGGTTTCAGGTTGATGAATGTGTTTCTCGCCTTCCCGATTATCGATTTGACATCCTCGTCCGTTCCTCCTGTAGTTGAGACAATGCTCCCTCCCTAGATAAGTGAATGAAGTAACCTCTTTCAAATCCCTCCCATTGATGGTGATTGGCGCTGTATGTTGCTGTTGTTGTTGGTTGGTTATTTTCATGACCTCCGTCTTGTCTATGTTCACCTGGAGTCCTGTCTTCTCTGGCTGCTTCTTCAACGGGTTTGTCGATTTTCGCTTGTAAGTCTCCGATTTTTTGTGACATCAGACATAAATCATCCGCGAAATCCAGGTCTTCTAGGTTCTTCACGTCGGTCCAGGATATCCCTGTCTTCTCGTTTCTCACTGTCGGACGCATAATCCAGTCCACCGCAATTAGGAATATCATTGGTGATAATAAGCACCCTTGTCTGACTCCTGTGTTTACTCCAAACGCTTCGCTGAGTTTTCCATTGGAATAATTACTGACAAAGATATCAAGATCAGTTGCATGAAAATTAGGGAGTCAAGAGGAATTCTGCAACAAAATGGTTAGATATTTAAGAGATAACTGTGATAACTGACATTTTCTATTGTCGTAGTGTGTGTAAATGTCCACACTGATGTTCTTTGTTTCTACACTTATTTTAAATGCATAACAGGAACAAATCCTGGGTAATATGAAATTCTGACTTCTTTCGTCTCCATTTTATGGTTTAGTTGGTATGCTATTTTTGACAGTTAGAATGATTTGAATTTTGTAAACTATGAGAGTTAATAGTTTACTATGTGGAGGTGTATAAATTCATTTTAGATCATTTCTGTGGTCCTCGAGGATAATGATTGACTGATTACATTTAGACATAGAATAACATAGCACAGTATAAAACAATTTCGTTTTGCTTAACAACATTTAGCACACTAACGTGAAGAAAAAAACAAGATGAGAAGAATTCAAAGTTCGTAAAATGTACCTGAATATGCAGGAAGATGTATGGTAACTTTGAAATAGATGATTGTGTATTGGTATGGGTGTTTGCAAAGAAGGGAATGCACACACACGTCAGCAGGATTGATTGATTTTGAGCAGTATCACTAACAGCCTCCTGTTATTTATTCTTAGCATCTCAAGGACTCCAAGCAGTGAGTCTTCAGCATCCCGTCTAAGAATTCATGGATTGCAGCTAGGTTTCAGTTTAATTATTCCTAACTCTTTCTCAAACAAGTACCATCTGATATTACTCGACAAGAAAGTGAGTTTCTGCGTATGTGCAGCACTTGTTCTAGGCATCTCAATCGATGCAGCTACTCAACTTCACTTTACACCTAACCTCAGCATTATTCACCACAATTTACCACTTAACACTGTTGGTAGAAACCCAAACATCTATGGTCAAAGGCAACTAGCATTTTCATATCCTTCTTTTTCAAAGACCATATCTTGCAGTCGTGAAGAAGGACGGAGCAAACTGTTGCGCCATACATAGGCTGCAGAAATGACGTAAATTGGCAAAAGCTAACTAACTAAGGCGTGGCTTTTATCGTGGACTGCTTCACTAATCATTAGTCTTTTACAGCCTGCTTACATTACAATCTTAAATAGCTGTTCATGTGTTACCTATCCCTGATACCCTTCCCATCTCTTTCGCTTTTATCGAATAGCAGTGTGACTAACTCGCATAAAATCACATTTTCTACATTTCAGATAAGCACAAATACCTGCACTAACCACACAGTTCAATACCTGACTTGATGAAGAAATGTTTAAGCAACCTAGTTGTTGTCTAACTAAGAACATATACTAAGGTTAACTGAAGTGAAAAAGAAAGCACATAATTTCATGTGGAAAAATATCTTACTCGGGTGGGCTGTAAACAAAAAAGAGTAAGAACAACGATAAGTGAGATTGACGTCTTATGCTCAATTCTAAAATGAATTTCATTGCTAAACTGAATGGAAAGAATTGTGAAAGATACTCAGTTTTGGTTTTATTTATTTTATCAAGGAAACAGTTTCTTTTTCGAAACGTGTAAGACAAATGGTTAGTAGTTCGCAGGAATATAAAGTTGGTCAAAGTAACGTAACTGGTTGAACGAGGCTATTCTGAACATTTTTGTTTGGCTATCACTAGTAGTACATCTCAGCAGCCTTGGTTGTAGGTGAAATACCTTCCATTTATTTTCCTTTTTCGTACAGGTGGAAACAGCGTCGGTGGCACAGCTGTTAGCACGCTCGCCGACCATCCACATGGTCCGGGGTTCAATCCCTGGTCGACGCACTCCTTTACCTTGCTAGGCCAGAAATAATGCTGCTGAAGAGGAAAGGTTGAGCATGAGGCTAGCAACCCCATCCTGTAAAATAAACACTGCTATAGAAACTTCAAGCCACTAGGTTGAAGCCCTAAGTTCCACTGCGGAACGTGAAGGAATGTTTTTTTATGTGCATGAATCATGATTTTCACTCTTCTTTTTTCTAATGAATCAAAGTTTAAACAACCTAATCGTTTAACAAGAAAAAAAATATTCTAATGGCGTCTTGATGTGTGGAAATGAAGCATACGATTGAGCATGAGCAAACAACTTACATCGGTTGTACAACAGATTCTTCTTTTGGTTGAGTAACTGTTGGTTTGAAATCTTGGAAGTTCATCAAAGTCTTCTTTTGTACGGAAGTTTCGGACAACCGGCGCAATTGATACAATTCCTGTTTCCCTCCATTATATCCTACTAAGCAAACCATGATACCTCCTGTTTTGAGACGCGGTAGCCACTGAGTCAGGCGTAATAAAAGAAGCACAGGATAAAAATCATAATAATTTGGTTATATGGAAATCTGTAGTAACTGACAATAGTTAAGAATGCAAGTCACACGGAGACATAGATTAGATTTTGCATAACGTTATAACACTGGGAAGACAAAAAGTTATTTCCTATTCAACGAAGTCATCTTCAATGGCCATTTAACAATATTTTTATCTACTAAAACCTACAATATTCTAGTTCTAAACAGTAACCGTCGTAACATAAGTGATACTGCGGTGAGTGCTACTTATAATCCGATATAAGTAGTATATCAGAAACGAAGTAACAATATGTTTGGCACACTGGAAAGAGCAATCAAAGAAGAGAACCATGAAAAGAATGTTGCCATTTGATGCAGAATCTAAGAAGCTATCGAATGAGACGATATTCGACCAATTCGTCAAGGATGTGGTAAATGATGTGCAAATGGCCGGTTGAGAATGTGGTAAACCAAATTTAGCTATGTACCATACGTTTCACCAAATAAACATTCCTTTCAGCCTCCTCAGTCTTGTCTTCTTTACAATACGATCATTTAGAAGAGGTTTTCTCCATTTTGAAGCAATTACACCATATATTCAACGATACAGTGGAAGTAAAGCTTTGGAATTTGTTCACATGAAATGTTTAGAAATGAGAAACGAGTTAGCTGAGTGCACATATAACAGATGTGATGATGAGAACGGAAATATGACTGGCAAATTGTGTGAGGGGCACATGCACAGAGTGATAATTGTGAATTACTTATAAAAAATAGAGACATTTTCTCCCTTATTTTTAGAAGAAGTCAAAGAAAACAGGAGGATGAGTGATAGAACAAACATCCCTGTGACAAGAAAATAGGGACTGAGTTGATGGATCACTAGTCTCACACAATACAGTAATATTGACAGCTGACACCTGTTCTCCAGTGCACTCAGCTAACTCGTTTCTCATTTCTAAACATTTCATGTAAACCAATTCCAAAGCTTTACCTGCACTGTATCGTTGAATATATGACGTAATTGTTTCAAAATGGAGGAAACCTCTTCTGAGTGACCGTATCAATTGTGTTACGACAGTTACTGTTTGAAAGTGGAATATTGTAGGCTCCAACAGATACAAATATTGATAAATGTTCATTAATCATGATGACTGCATCGGTAATGAATAATTACTTGTTTAAATTGGGGTGTAATTGCATCGTGAATAAGTAGTTTTGGTTGTTATAATTCTTATGAGCCGAAGTTCAAACTCTTCGACGGAATCTGAGAATTTCAACCATCATGTGATATGTATCAATGCAATAAACAGGAATGGATAGAATTGGAACCAAGTTTCCTGCAGGTTATAGCGCCTAACGATGTACTAAATATTAGTAAAATTTGACTCCAGTCTAGCGCTGAATACTCACTATATGCTTTATTCACTCTAATCAGTTCACACTGATTACCTTTCTCTTAAAAAAATGACTGTATATTGTCATCAGACATAAATTATATTAATGTGCAAAATGAATTAACATTGACGCGCTTTTTGATTAATACGTTACACTCTTATTTTTGTGGAATATCTTGCCAAAAAGTTGCAAAAAACTATTGCAATTGTTTGCCTTTGAAACACTGAATCTTTGGATATAATACTGTTGATAGATAATACCTATAACTACCTATTTGCCAGTCTGTGCTTGTTTAACACTTACTAATATCTATAATTGTATATATTGACGGATTTACATGTTCAAGTTGGCTCATATCAGTGAGTCTATGATTTTGGCATCATTTTGGTTAACCTTACTTGACTGTGATATTATTCTTGTTGTTATCGCTTGTTACCCTTCTTGTTGTGAATTATTTTCCTGTGCTGGTGTTGTTCTGATTGTTTTATTCCTTGTTTTCCTGGCTTTAAGGGGAGCAACCCACAAGGTCGCTTCTCTCTAAACTATAATTTAATGTAACAATCCCCTTCTCAGGCGTGAGGCTAGCAACACCACCCTGTAAACAAACTTCAGCACGATGAATCTCCTTGCGCCAAAAGAAAAAGTCTGTGTGGGGACATGGAATGTCCGCACCATGTACGAGATTGGCAAAGCTGCCCGGGTCGCAAACGAAATGAAAAGATACGGAATTCAAGTACTGGGGATATGCAAAAGCAGATGGAATGGGAATGGACTCACCAAATTGTCAACTGGTGAATCAGTGATCTACTCCGGTCACCCGGAAGATAACCACTCGCACACCAAGGGCGTGGTTATCATGATGTCACCAACGGCAAAGAAGGCCCCAGGATAATAACCGCCAGATTCAACTCCAAAGGAAGGAAATTGTCAATTATACAGTGCTATGCACCCACAAACAACTCAGATCTTGAGAAGAAAGAAGAGTTTTACAGACAACTACAGGCAACAATGGACAATACTCCAGTTGGTGACATTAAAATACTAATGGGAGACATGAACGCCAAACTGGGATCAGACAACACAGGAAGGGAACTCATCATGGGTAGAGAAGCTCTCGGAGAAATGAATGTAAATGCAGAACTCTTCGCCGACTTCTGCGCCTTCAATGAACTAGTGATTGGTGGCAGCGTATACAAACACAAGGATATCCACAAGGCTACATGGGTGTCACCAGATGGGCGAACCAAAAACCAAATCGACTTCATCTCAATCTCAAGGAAGTGGAGGAGCAGCCTGCTGGACACAAAAGTACGAAGAGGAGCAGACGTTGGCTCAGACCACTATCTCGTACAAGGGACAATCCAACTCAAGTTAAAAGCTTTCAGAGAATCAGGAGCTGCAGATAGACCACAAGCCAAGTTCAACACTCAAAACCTGAAGGACCAGGACACAAAGGACATCTTCACTGCAAGCATAAAAGACAAAGCCGAGACACAAATCAACACTGGCGAAGAGGTCAGCGTCGAAAAGCACTGGAACAACTTGAAAACAGTGTGGAGTCAGACCTGCATGGAAGTTCTAGGCAGAAAGAAGAGACAGGACAAACAGTGGCTCACTACGGACACTTGGAGACTGACAGAAAAGAGAAGAATGGTGAAACAAAAGATTATCCAGTGCATCGACAAGCAACAAAAACAGGATTTGAATGCAAACTACAAGACGCTGGACAAAAGAGTAAAGAAGAGTGCCAGAGAAGACAAAAGAAAGTATTATGAAACCATGGCAAGTGAAGCAGAACAAGCTGCAGGCAAAGGAGACCTCGCAACACTCTACCAAATAACTAGGTACCTATCGGGCAAAAGTTTGACACAAATTAAGCCAGTGAAGGATGACAATGGAAAGTCTCTCATCTAAGAAGTGGAGCAAAGGAAACACTGAGTTGAACACTTCGAAAGACTCCTAAATCGACCACCACCGACAACGCGCCCAACAATACCAACAACGGAGACAGAACTACCAGTGAACACCAACCCCCGGACGAAATCAGAAGTCCTGAAGGCAATCAAGATGCTAAAAGCTGGAAAAGCAGCAGGACCAGATGGAATCCCAGCAGAAGCATTGAAAACGGACCCAGAGACAACAGCGGACTTGATGACGCCACTACTGGAGAAGGTGTGGAAAGAAGGCAAAGTAACCGAGGATTGGGAGAAAGGATACTTATTCAAACTACCAAAGAAAGGAGACCTAAGTCAATGCAAGAACTGGCACGGAATTATGGTCCTGTCCATCCCAAGCAAAATACTAAGCCGCATCATCCTGGAGAGAATCAAACAAGCCAACCTGAATGAAAAACTTCGACTGGAACAGCCTGGATTCAGGAGAAAGATTCATGCATTGATCAGATTGCCACATTACGGATCATCTTTGAACAAAGCTTGGAATGGCAGTCACCTCTCTATCTCAACTTCATCGACTTTGAAAAGGCCTTTGGCAGCGTCGATAGAGAGGTGATTTGGAAACTACTTCGCTACTACAAGGTGCCACCGACAATAATACATCTCATCCAACAGCTATACGACAATGCTGCATGCCAAGTAATCCACAACGGGAAACTTACGGAATCCTTCAAAGAAGTGAGGACAGGAGTAAGACAAGCTGGATGCCTACTATCGCCAATGATTTTCCTGATTGCAGTATATTCGATAATGTGACAAACAGCGGCGGGCAATGAGGAAACAGGCATTAAATGGACTCACACAAAATACTTGGAGGATCTGGACTTCGCCGATGATATATGTCTGATTCCCCATAAACTGGAAGATATACAAGCGAAAAGTAACAAGTTGGCAGAAGAAGCATCAAAGATAGGACTTCAGGTGAACATAGAGAAAACACAGGTGATGAAGATTCCTGGGCAACACCACCAACAGCAACAACAACAGCAACAGACGACGATCAGCATAAATGGAAGGAACCTGGAAGAAATTACCTCTTTTACCTACGTGGGAAGCATCGTTTCAACTACAGGCAAAAGGAACTGACGAGGATATCAAAGCAAGAATCGGAAAAGCAAGATACGCTTTCACTACTCTCAAGTCTGTTGGGAGGTCAACAGCACTACTCAGCATCAAAAATAAGATCCGGATTTTTGACTCCAATGTGAAGTCAGTCAGTGCCACTTACTATACGGATCAGGGACTTGCACTGCGCGTCATAAAGAGCATCTCAAACAAACTACAGACCTTCATTAACAGCAAGTTGTCTTCGCTCAATACTACTCAAGATCAGATGGCCGGCCAGAAAAGATCAGCAACAGGGATCTCTGGGAGCGAACGGACTGTGAAACAAATAGGCGGGAATAAATGGAGATGGATTGGCCATACTTTGAGGAAATCACCAAGTGACATTACTAGACAAGCCCTGGAGTGTAACCCGAAAGGGAAGCGGCGAGTTGGTCGTCAGTGCAAGGGTGACTTGCAGGAGGTCATGTGAAGAGGATATGAAAGCATGTGGGCAGACTTGGAGCCAGGTGAAGACTCCAGCAGAGAACCGAACGCACGGCTGAAGCCCTATTTTCCTGTAGGAATTAAAGAAAACAATAATAATAATGTGCAAAATATTTCGCCCTTTTGTTTTCTCGATGCCTTTCATTTTCTCTACTTTCACAGTATTGCATAAAAAGGATTTGCAATTACAATGGAAGTCAGTGAAAAGAGTGCAGATAAATCATAAATTACTTTACTGTGCCAAAATCTGAGTAAGAGCGCTGACTGATTTTTGTTTAGTACAAATGACTGACATACTTATCGAAAGTTTACATTATTATTATTATCTATTTCATTCTTTTGCATCCCCAGTGGAAATTAGAGTTTCATATTTGAGCTTTAAAGTTTGAGTGGCCTTACTCTCAATCCCCCCGCCTCCTTACTAGGCTTCCTACTGGCTAGGAGAGGTAAAAGAGTGCATCGGCCACGGACTGAATCCCGGACCATGTGCGTGGTATGAGGGTATTCAGCCAGTGAACTACCGTAGAGCAAAATTTTTCTATATGAATAATGACAGGGAAAGACATGACTAAGAAACCATGTAAGTGCAAGACTTGGCAGTACCCGATTCTATATTAATTTGTTCCTTGAAATATAACAAAGTGTACTCATCAATTCACAAATGATATTTCTTGAGTCTCAAATATACACCTTCGCATTTATAATCCTGTCTCCAATAATTTTAATGTGACACACAACGTTCAAGTAAGAAGGAGTCACTGAAGTAAAATCTCTCGATAGAGGTTTCATATTCAATGGCGTTTAAAACGTCTCTCAGATCTTGATAAAATTAATTTCTTTCCCATGATTAGAACCTGTATTATTCAGTCGGAAAGGGAGAAAATTTATAATTCAGCTGCTAAGGCTTACACCAGCTTCTCGCATTGGAAGCTCTTGTGTGCAAGTTAAAATGCTCACATTTTAATAGTTTCTGTCGAAATAGCCCAAAAACGAACACTGGTTAAAATCTTATTTTATAGAGCCAGGAGAATATGTTCTACACAAAAACTAGAGGAAGAATTTCTGAATTTCGAGAGTATTTTGAAAAACTACGGCTACCCACAGAAATTCATTAATAAGTAATGCAGGTGTTAAGATTTAAGTATCAAACAAACGACAGTGGAAAAGAAGCCTATCTTCAAATCACTCGATTTCAAAGATGATAGTACTGCAAGAATAGTCAACAGAAGATTTATTATCTCACCAGCCAGAAACTATCCCGCAGCTAAGTTGGTTCCTATTTATTAGACAGCATGCTTTGTGGTGCAATCAAAGGTCTAACAGTGTTAACAAATTAACATATGTATCTTCTCTACAACTTGCATTGGCGGAACAGAACGGAAGGCACACCTTGAATATTCTGAACATTTACCAGATAGCCTATACCTCAAGGAGTTAAACACTTACATGAGGCAGATGTAATGAAATTCTTTAAAGTTGTAAATAAACAGAATAGTTGACTTCTCTTTAAATTTGCCGAAGCAATCGTCATAAAACACGCAAAATCCGATTCATGTGTCCAGAAAGAATTGGAAGTAATCAGTCTTCCCTTGCCTAGATAACTGGACACCTTTACCATCTCTTCTATTCGATTATGTAAGCTTTGTCTCTAACCACTCCATCTTCGTTACAGCGTCTCTTACTTCTATGATTTGAGCTGGACTCGCCACATTGCCACTTAGTTTATTAATAGTTACTCGTCATTTTATTGGCCTCTTATATTTATGACGTAACTGTTTTTTCATTGTATCCACACATTTATTATTTTTTTGTTGTTCTTTAAACTTAAACTTTCTGGGTAAAGGCCATATGAGTTTAATTTCTGAGCAGTGGTAGGATTCTTTTGCATATGAATTTAATTATTTCGTTAGTTTGAACACAGCTGATGAGAAGCCAGCTGATTAAATAATGGTGCCAATTTTAGCTATGTAATTAGTAACATTATTTTTTTTTCTTCAGCATTAGTTCGCATCAGGACACTAGACAGAACTACCAATATATATGTGGTTAGGATTTGTAAAGTTTGAATGTGTAATAATCTACACGTACTTACCCTGTTCACATCACTTTCACGCACTGCACGAACAAAGACAGCATCATATTTCTCAGTTAAAAGCTCTGGGATTTTATTATTATAGGTTGTTAATTTAATTTGATTCCCCAATGTTAAGCCACGTGTATAAGCTCTACTGTGTTCTAACCAGCTTTTGACATGCGATGAAACCCATGAAAATAAGTCACTAGTAGGTTGAGCGGATACAGTGACACCTTGTGTACCTGTCTTTAGTAGAATAAAACAAAAATGGTATAAAACACGGTAGACTAGTTTGAAATATACTCAGTAATCAGCATCATTGTAATGGTTGTCTGTGTGGAAATTTATGTTTGTGTACTAAAGATACAAATAAAACTTCACGTTTACATATCATATACTTCAGGTATTTATGCGACTTCGATTTATAGTTCTGTGTGCACACTCTCGTCTCATAATAACTTTCAATAATGCATAGTTAGAATAGTCAGAACCGAGATCCTCCTGACTATGGAGAATACGGTTGTTAGATAGAATCTATCACACCCAGTACTCAGTTGTGAAGTTTCTTTAGAGTAAAAAAGGTTAGCGCCTGATCAAACACGTTTATTGGCAGAAAAATCTAGTTCGCCATTTCGAATTTATTCCTTTATGATGTTGAAGACATAAACTTTACCTTACTATGAGTTCCGTTCACAGTTAATCATTGATATATACCTTTCCGTGTTCATTGCGGTTTTAAGAATCTTAACGCCACTGTATTTTTCACATTTATTCTGCGCTCAGTAGCTACCGTGTGAGTAGGATTTTGTATTTCGCACTTAAGACTGGCAGTTTGTATAGGGCTGAATGTTTTTAGATGAGTTATTATCGAACGTTCAACTGTAAATTTAATGATACTGTCACCTCTAAATTCGCTTTATGGAAAGACAAAATGCACTTTTTTCTACGCCTTTTTCATTCATTCACTTCACTTCTCTTAATAATTATGTGACTTCCCTTTCCTTAGATGAAGGAAAATCTCCCTGATTCACTTCGAAATCACAATCAACGTTGAATAGCCTACCGTATACTGCTCTAGCGCAGTGATACTGACATGGAAACAATTGAAAGGAAGCAAAATTATTAACTTAGTTCACTCAAATCAAAATTCATTTGCGTATAACACTGACTATGCAAATATCTATTTATCCACCAATATAGCAACCCAAATAATCAGAGTCTTGAAAATACACTTTCTCGTTTAATTCATACCATTAGTGCATTAGTTATCTGTTAACACTTTTAAATGAAATAAACCTTTCATGTATACGATAGACAAGACCCATTCAACAAGTTACATAGTGTGTCTCGCTGAAAATACAAGATAAATAAGTAAACCTGTGATCGAAGCTGTGGCAAAACCTTGACTGCCAGTGAAAACGTGTTACATTGCAAGTAATTAGTATTCATCAGTAGCAGCACATGTCTCAACGTCATCAACCGATGCAGTTTCGCACACCGAACTATGATTACTATTTCGTCTATTGATCATATGGCAATCTTTCTCAGATAGGTCAGGCATTTCTAAGAGATCGCATTAAAATAACTAAAACAAACCTATTCGTTTGACTGTTAGCAGTGAAAATTTCATCCAGCTAATTTGTCAGCCTATGATTTCGGACGCTTAATGCTTCGGAGGAGTGTGAATGAAAATATTTAGTAGTGAATAGTGAGTGCTATTAGCAGTACTAGATTTGGGATACGACCAGGGGCTTGAAACGATTTCCTGAACTGAAAATACGATATTCTGAAAACCGAAATACAACAATTTAGTTCAGCTGACTTACCATGAGAGCTGTACAAGCCGTCATGTATCCGATGCCTAGCTCGACAACTAAAGCATGTGATGAACGCTCCTTGATACCAGCGCTTAGTGCATCCAGAATCAGTGCGTGCTGAATCATTGAAAATAAAATGATGGTTATTTTCCAGTTGTCAAAATTTAGCTTCACAAAAAAATTAAGCTCCATGATGGAGCGAAAGAACAAAAAAGAGCTATGACACCGCCATTTTGGTCGTCATTATTTACAAAAATGAGGTTAAGCAAGAGTGAGGCCTATTACCAGCACTTCAGTAGCAGCTACTTTACACCATGCAAGAGTTGTGCTAAGTTTGTACAAGGTTGAGAAAACGCAGTCCCTATCAATCATGTTTTAATGTTGGATAATAAAAACTGTATAAATCCCTTCAGTCTAGCAGCTATATTATCTAAATTTTAGTTCTTATAACTGCTATGTCAGGGGTAAAAGAATACATTCTTACAGAATTTGAATTTATCTACGTGGTTCAGTGCTGGATTGATAACCGTACTACTCTCTTTGTAATTGGTCGAGTAAAAACTGTCATTATTATTCAGCACTGAGATTATATTTCACAGCTAGCAACATTGCTTATGTATATACAATGACTAAACGTGGAGAACAGAGAATTTTGAGATTCTTAGACATTCATCTTATTGTACTATAGTTTCGCGAAATAGGTAGTATGCAAAACAATGAATGATAAACATTGTCTAATTGTTGGCTGTAAATTTAGAAGACTAGAAGTCATTTAAACATTCCTCAGATCTCAAGTTTCACTATTCTAAATTTATAAAATCCACATGAATACAATTAAGTTGGCTCATATTGAGATTTCCATATACCTTCATTTTACAAAAGTATCTTTTGTGAAGGAGTGAATATTCAGTAAAGTAGATGCATTATAGAAACAAGCATATGAAGATTTATGCAGATCAGAAAGTCATTATCATTCACGAATAATAGAAATGAAGACGTTAGACAAGTGAACAGAAATCTAATGATTATAAAGTGTGGTCATAACCAAGTGTCATTAGTGTGCATAGGTTATTTGGGTAGAACCTACTGTTTACCACTATACGTTTGTACTGGTGTCATTTTATACTCTGAATGCCTAATATGGTTCAGTGATTGTGAAAAGAACTGGGTAAGGATTAGAACACAGAAATTCCCTCGCATAGAAGTACCAATCTGTAGTAGTTTATATAGATCTGACTTGAATCTGACTAATTATTATACAGTCAATATAACATATGTAGTTAAAAGAGGGATGATGCCTAATACTCTCTGCCTAGGTTTATCATCACATCACTTGTTTTCACAAGAAAACCGTTCTTCTAACTTGTAGGCCTAAAATATTTATTCTGTCAAAACAAAATCAGATGACATGAAGAGCTAGTTTGCAGACACCCAATTATTAAACACAATGGGAACTAATGGTCAGTTTTTATGAATTTCTATGCTTTTAATGAAAAAGTGCAAGTTGCAGTTCGGTTAGCATGAAAGATGAGACCTATGAATGAGATTATACGTGATGTTGTTTGAGGTAGATGATGCAGTGGTTCTGAAACTACTGTCTAAGTTGAAGCCAAGTAAATCACCTGGACCAGACGGACTTCACCATAGATTGCTAATATCTTTGGCGGATATGATATACATCCAGCTTACGGAAATTTTCCAAGTGTCTCTGACCCAGGCTAGGTTACCCAGAGACTGAAATGATGCTTTTATAACCCTTATCTTCAAAGATGGGAACAGGCAGTTAGTATCTAACTACCGGCCTGTAAGTCTGACCTGAATTATAGCAAAGGTGTTAGAAAAACTCATAAGGGACCAGCTCTTAGCTCATACGGAAAAACATGGCTTACTGGCAGTGGAACAGCATGGATTTCGACCAGGACGATCCTGCTTGACAAACTTACTGTTAGCCAGGGAAGATTGGGTCGAGGCCAGGGATAAAAACCATCTACTGGACGTTGTATTTATCGATCTTAGTAAAGCATTCGATAAGGTATCCCATTTAGGTCTTCTTAGTAAACTTAAACATTTTGGATTAGACCAACGCTTATGTGAATGGTTTAGTGACTACCTGATGGATAGGAGGCAGAAGGTAAGGGTTAATGGTGTACTGTCAGGGTGGAAAGCATTACTAAGTGGAGTACCTCAAGGAACTGTACTTGGTCCCCTGCTATTCCTATTATACGTAAATGAAGTGCCGAAAATTCTTACCTCATCTTCTTTACTATTTGCGGACAATATTAAGATATGGAAAACCGTAAATAGTAACGATGATAGGTTGGTACTACAAAACGATCTAGATAAACTAGCCGAATGGGCTAACCTTTGGATTCTGGAAATTAATTCCAAGAAAAGCGCGGTAATGCACCTAGGTCAGAAGTCTTACACGTCGTACTTTATAGGGGACACAGAACTGCCAGATGTTAGGGAACAAAAGGACTTAGGAATTATTGTTAGCCATGACTTAAAAACAACGGTAAACTCTAATCGAGCCGCAGCTAAGGCTTTTTGAATGCTATGGACACTTCGAAGGGCTTTCAAACGATTAGAAGAGGGCATGTTCCAAGTACTCTATGCAACATATGTCAGGCCTCATCTAGAGTACTGCATACAAGCGGTGGGTCCATGTTTCAAAAAGGAGGCACATACCCTGAAAAGAGTACAGAGGGTAGGAACGAAATTAGTTAGTGATATCTCACACCTTCCTTATGACATGAGGATGGAGCATTTAAATCTCTTCCCATTATCATACCGAAGGAGGAGAGACGACTTAATTTTGGTCTTACCGTATAATTAATGGTGATTTATGGATTCACCTTTCAAACCTTTTCTCTCCCTCTAGGATACATTTACGGGGTCACCAGAAGAAGGTGCTCAAACCGAGGACGATTAAAATACGTTTGGAGTTTAGATTCTCTCACAGAGTGGTCAACGACTGAAACTGCTTACCTGATTCAGTATTAACGGCTCCATCGGTGGACGCTTTCAAAGAGAAACTAGATCTCTGCAGAGATACATATCGCGATGATTAACAGGCAAAAAGAGCCTTCTGTCCTCATCATCCGAATCTGAATCTGCTATTAATTTAGTACTAGTGTCTGGGGATGATTTACGACTAGAAATTAACTTTGGACTATTTACGCAGAGAAATATATCTCTATGTAATTGAGTGTATAGCATTTCATTTCAAATAAGCATGAGGAAAGACTTAATAACTTTGAAACTACAGGTGCTAGAATAACAAGCTAGACAAAATTTCAATTATTTACTAGTTTATTTGAAATTATTTATTGTCATCTAAAAAGACCAAAGATGTTGACTACTTGCAAATATATCAAAGCATAGTGAGAACCTGAAATTTAAACACAAGACAGCAGTTTAAAAAATTTAACAAATGCTACAGTGGAAATAAAACTCTTAACATCCTAAAATGTGGTAGGACTAAATAAAATTGCCGATCAATAAAAAAGATGGGTTTTGTGAATGACCCCAATACCCAGTAATACACAATAATAGATTTAAAGACTACGCGACTTCTGTCTAAAAATCTATTGAACTCACCACATAAGGAGCAGGGAACATAACTTTAACAGGAGGATGGCGACCGACTTCAACTATTTTTGACCGATTTTCGTATGGCTCATCATCTACGAAACAACTACGATCCACACCTTGCATAGATCTTTCAGCTGCTGCTGTCTTTAGAAACCCATTTTCTGTGTTGAAAACCGAAGTTAATTGTAAGTGCTAATTACTCTTTAACCCTTCTATCATAGCTGAATGTTTTGCTGCATCTGGTTTGCAGGCAGTTACATAGCTACAAAAATACAAAATGATGATTATTGCTGAAAAGGTTTTGTAATTTCTAGCTAGATCCATTTCTGATTTGTGAAACCAACACGAAAACGCAAATAACAATACCAAAATAGCGCTTTTAGATATCCAATGTCCAATAAAACTCCAACGAGCTCGTGTGAACACAGTGAATACTTGGAGCCTACTCCTTGTTGTATACGAAGAGCCGTAGAACTTTCACGGATTTCAATACAACCTTTTTCATCGTATGATAAAGCTTTCTGAAACAGAACAAGAGAGGTCACGTAAGCTTACGTTATTTCGGGTAATGCATGTTTTAGAACAATTATGGTGGCATTGCTGGTATTTGGAAATTTTCAATTCATCGGGCAACCGCCTTTACAGATCAACAATCTATTAAGGAGAAGATCCAGAGAATAACTTGATTAAACATATCGAAATTACGGCAAGAGGTTTGTGTATAATTCAGGGTGTTACAGCAGGGCTTATGCATATATAACAAAAGCAAAAGTAAAGGAGGGAAGGAGACCAGATCACAAGTTACATGTAGTTACTACTTGGCTACTCATCCTATCCTTTTGAGTTTCTCAGCTACTCGCTGAATCTGAGTGGTCACAGCACACAGTTTCGCAGAGGCTGTGCATCAATTGCCCACCGGAAACGTCTTCCCTAAGAACGTCGGTTCGACTGACCTATCTTTCAGAGCTATGTCTAAGGTTTTCTCTCGAGTGCTTCGAGGTCTATGACGCCACCTGAAAATTCGTGACTTTGAAACTCTCCAACCTGAATGTACCGAATATGCGTTGTACAGTTACGTGGAACAGGTTAAAGTTATTCATCTAGTATGTTACAAATAAATGTTATGACTTAGTTTGCTGCTAATATTTCCTATTGAAATCGCTGCACCAGGCTGTTAGCGGTTGTCTCATAGTTCGAGCATCGTCTCCTGCTTCCGAATAGTCAATATCTACGAAATGATTTTTCCCTAAAGATTATGTTCATCTCAACTCAGTCTTCAGTACTGTTTCGTCAGCTTCAGCATATAGCGTCCCGAGACTGCCTTTTTCTGGACGGTTTAGCCAGGTTATACTTCATTTGCGTGATGAGATGTGTTCGAGCAAGCAGTATGAATGATAAATTTGGTAATACTTACTTCTGGCCATCGGAATCGGAGTTGCACACCATGAGGAACTTAACGTCATCACGATGTTATGTTTCACAGGTCTCTCCTTCGCTATGCTGATGCTATGGTGATGTTTACGACTGAGGTTGACCACTTGATACATTCCGTAAGACGGTCTGTGGGTTGCATCCAGAATAATGCCTGGTGTGCTCACTCTGGCTCAGAAGTTAAATTTGACACAGAGACAAAACCATGTGAAAACAAAAGTAAAAGTTGGTTGAGTTGAGAAGAGAACTATTTGAGGATCTCCTGCAAGTGGTCTAACCAACAGCGCATCGGCGAGACAGGAATTTATCCGGCTCTGGCCGGCGAACAGGTGTTTTTCGCACCTGCTTTGGCGTTGCCCTGCAATGCGAAAAGGGATGGAAGTGAACGATTTCACAACATGCTATACAGTGCTTCACTTTCAATACAAAAGTCAATAACTCTTTTCAATTTTTAACGAATTCTGACTTACAAAGATATTCTGTGATGTGAAGAAGAGAAAGTGAAACTAGTTGTGGGAGCCTCGTGCATAGTATGAGGACGGCTATAACAAACCTAATTTCTTCTACACGTTTGATTACGTCCATATACTAACCCCTTCGCTGAAATCGTGGATCATAAACATTGTAATTTAATATGAACGTGGGCCTTAAGCAAGAACTTTTATAAGCATGGACGTCAAAATGTGATGAATTAACTCTAGCTAACCTTCCAGTACCCAACTGCAACCTATTAAGTTCTGGAGGATTATATGATAACGGATTAATCACACGCCGTTAGCTTTGATGTACACAATGGGACATATAAACATGCTTTATGCATCCAGAGGTGTAGGAATGGAGTCAAATATTCTAGTAAAACTCTTTGTCATCATTAAGATTTGTTTATTTTTACCGTAGTACACCGCTTTGTATGCTCCTTGTAAATCATTGTGTCTCCCGAAATACTGGCTTTCTTCATATCCCTTATCAACATTCCCCGAGCAGTTTTCACCAACACCCGCCATCTCTACTTGACAGCACCAGTTGCACTAGCCGGAGTAACTACTGGATACTTTAAGTAAAGTCGTATACATCGACCTGTATGCTCCTACTTATGTACATCCATTTGTTTTGCTGTTGTAACAAGGTTGCATATTCCTTAGACTAGCGTTTCCAAAATTGATCAGCTAAATAATACTAACTAATAATATACATTTCGTATAAACGGCTGTTTACAACAAGTGCATCCCATTTAACAGGCACAATCATCAATTTTTTAAATTGCAACCGTGAAATAGCATAAACTAGTACGTTTTGAAAACCTTAGTTGTCCGATAATGGTACAAGCACTCAGAACAGTGCATATAAGTGTTAAATTCGAAACACTTCACCACCAAAGTTGAGCGACAACCCAAACTTCGTTCCGTTTCATGCTGGTATTTATGGTCAAGCAGTGAACCGCATATATTTGGGTAAGTACTATGCCACCACGTGATTGAAAGCTTTTCCATGACGAGAAGAACGGCCTGGAAAACACAGCAGTAAATATCCAGTTAAACCAAACAAAGAAGTATTGTTACAGCAAGTAGTAATTTTAGTTCATATCCAATATCAAATATCGTTTTTACGAGCTAGTATAAACCAATTTGATTTAATTGTGCTCGCCTATTGATTCTGAGGTAGAGGTTTCTGATCTTCGGTAAACATATGCGTAGCGCGTCCCGCCACTCGACTGTCGTAGCTTCGGTTGACTCCAAAAGGAGTAGTGCAGGGATTAATTATATGTGGTTTGTAGTATGAGGTGTGTTAAGACTGTTAATACTGTGAATGGAGTTGGTCCTTCGGTATCGTCGTCAATAGAAAAGAGATAATAGTAATAGATATAATCAGTGAAGTTATTCAGACTAGCAGACAGAAAAATAATAAGAAAACGTAACAACAGTCAGTCAACCGGTATATATATATATACCGGTAATAATGGTAATAATAATAGGCGTAGTTAAAGCTGTCAGGAGAGTAAGACTGAAGAGAATGTAAAGAAGTAAAACGACCAGTTTCATTGTCTACCTTTGAATGGTGTATGCGATTTTAAGGGGATAGGCCATTTGGATGAAGTCCTTGTGTCGCTGCATGGTTGTCCAGCCTTCGCTTAAAGGCGTCCACAGATGGTGCCATAGCTACATCTGCCGGTAAGGAATTTTGGGGACGGCAAACCTGCAGGGAAAAGAAGTGAGAGCGCAACCGGGTCCTTGCCCTCTGATGAGCTATCCCTCTGGGATTTCCACGAGGGAGCCTATACCTACTCAATGGCAGAACACCTCTGTTTGGGTGATTCTGGTCATTTGTTATTTTGTAGGCAGTAATTAAATTCCCCCTAAGCCGACGGTAACTAAGTGTGAATAGGCCTAATATGCGGCCAGGAACCAGAGTAATGGCGAACTAGTCCGTATAAAATGGCAACTGGAGCACGTAGGAGCTGGAAATTATCATCACGCTAGTCAGTGAAATTTAAAATGCAGCAACCTGCATGTATTCATGATTTCGTGAATAACCAGATTTATTGGCACCGAACAAATAGTTACTTGTATGTTTTTTGGTATAGAGGTGTCACGGAGGAAGTTAATGGGACCAATAATATTTGCAGATCATCTGTCATTGTAAGTGACCAAATATCTATATTTAAATATTTAAAATTTTTTTGTAACGCGGTACGTCCAACGTTTGCGTTACATTTTTGAGTGATTCGTTACATAAAATTTATCTTGTTGTAATACTTGCACAAGTACTCTACTACCTCTATACCTATAACTATTAACTCTCATATCAAATAGTTATGGTTAACCAAAGTAAAAAGCAACGAACTCAATCCTCTGTAAATCTGATGACTAATCTTAAGTCGCTGATTGCTACATCAAGCAACACACTCCCTACAAATGGTTATACTGAGCCACATAACCCACTTGTATGTCGTAATCGTCGAGCTGAAACTGAGGATAAAACTGCACTGACAGCTAGTATTAGCACTACTCCCGAAAATTCAGTACCCTCTGCTCATACAGAAACCCTCCCTTCACCTTACGTACTTATCGAAAAGCTCCAGCCTTCAAGCTCTGTTTCAGAACTATCTTCTGAAATGGAACTCCTAAATTTGTCTATAGGAGAACTTAAGGCCGAGTTAAGGGAAATAAAAAACAAGTCAGTAAATCCAGTAATTTCTGAAAGCAATACCAAAATATCCAAATTATCAGATCAGATCAGCGATATCAGATCGCAGGTCTGTGAACTGACACCTTTAACTATTCTCATGAAAACTGTAGACCTTAACAAACTTGACAATGAATCGATATCTAAGGTGGATAACCTAATTAACTTTGTTACTATAGAAGTAACAAAGCGACTCGATGCTAAACTAAATGCTATTGTCTACAACGTTCCGGACAATGAGGCACTAAAAAAAGGTACAGCGCATCTTACTTAGTGAGGCGAAAATGCCCAACTCCAAGACTAAATGCTACAGGCTGAAGAAGAATCAACATGAAAAGTGTTGTCCTATTCGTTTTCAGTTCGAAACACCGGCTGAGCCCAGAAAATTTACCCACTCCCAACAAACCCTATCGCAAGCCAGAAATTACAAACTAATAAAGGTTGCGGTAGACAAGACCGTCATAGAAAGGCGCGTATAGTTACAACAAACTACAATTATAAATTTTTATATTATTGGAAGTACATGATAGACATTTTTACACAGGACAATAATATTACTTCACACAATATAAAAGTTAGCATCACGGGAATAGTTAGTTAGTGCACCAAAATAACTATAATTACTAAACAGAATATAAACGTATATATACATATTAATCACTCCCTAAGTACTCCACTTGCTTGCTTTTGCGTTGTTGTTGTTTGTCTTCTTTTGTCTCTCACCATTTCAGCATCCATTTGACTTTTCGAATGAGAATGAAGAATGTAGATATTTGCCCATTTACAATGACAAATGATCTGCAA